TTTTTTTTTTCGTTATAGTTATCAGTTTATTTGAGGTGTCGTTTATTGGTGATCGCGTAGTTTGGTAAACATAAGCGTTTATTTTTTACAAGTTGTATTTTATTACAGTTGTGATTGTCGTTTCTGCTGCACATTTTTAGAAATATTAAACATTTATAAATTTAATTAATTAAATCCAATTCGATATTTAACATACTGGTAAGCATAAAACATTTAAATTATAATTAATATTATAAGTAAAATCGGAATCGCGGGGTCAACCGGAACAGTTTAAGAAATATCTGTTTAAAATACACGCAACTTCTTCAATCTTTGATAAAATGATATGGTCGCACTTTTAATAGCTTCTAAATGACATTCAAGTTCACATGCAGTTCTCTCATGCGACAAAAGTTCAATATGCATAAATTATTAACGCGTCTTTTTCAACAAATTTTTTTAAAGAAAAATCATATACGAAAAACTATCAGCTACGAATAAAACGATTTGAGTAAGACCTATAGTAACACTTTTATTGAATAAATATACATGCTATAAAAAGAGTTAAGTGTTGAACCAACAGAGAGAGAAAATAAAAGTTATGAATCAACAGAAAGTGAATTTAGAGCTCAATGTTTTGAAGCATTAGATTCTATACTTTCTAGTTTATGTTGGAGGTTTGAAAAAATGTCACAAATAGCATCTGATTTTAGTTTCTTGTCAGGTAACTCATTATCAACTATGGAGTCTGAAAACATAAAACTTTGGGTTAATGACTTAGCATTAAAGTACGATCGGGATCTGAATGCTACAGAGTTATACTCTGAAATTGAAAGCTTTAAATATCAGGGCCCATTATTAATGACCTCATTTGAGAAGGCTACCCACCTAGATATTTTAAAACATATTCATAAGTACTGTTTCCAAGACTTATATCCTAATTTAGAAGTAGCATTAAGAATATTTTTAACAATTCCTGTGACTACTTGATCAGCAAATTATAAAAATTCGAAGTAGAGTTAAATTTTACATTTTTGTATACATTACGATAATTTAGGAATCTAAAAATATTTTACTTTAAGCTTGGTCACTACAAACTCTGAAATAAATTTTAATTCAATGTAAGAAAAGAAATTCTCTATTTAGTGATGTGTAATGTACTACAATTTATCTCAATAGTTGCTTTAAATTATGCATTCAGGTTGATCAATTTATTTATTATTATTAACTTTAGGACTTGATGTATTAAAAATTAGTATGGTCATAATTTCAAATGTAAAATACTATAGTTTTTCAGTATAATTGCGAAGTTGAGAAAGTAATTAAAATAGTAGTGGTTTGATTTCAACATAAAAGCCCAAAAAACTATAAACTCAAGTTTCAATCATTCAATATTTAATCTTATTTTATTTTCCTTTAGTAAAATACATTTGTTTAAATTAAAAATTAACAAAAAGTTTTTTGGTGATGTGTAAAAGAAAAAATTTTTATTAATAAATTATTCAAAATACATTATGATTAAAAGTCGAGAAATTATTCATAAATTCAATTTACAAATTTGTTTAATGGTCTGAGGAATTTAAATGAGCAAAGCATTTATTTTTAATTAAAAAGAAAATTTGACGTAATTTTGTAACTATGTAGGTAATTTTTAATTAGTATTTCTAACATGTTTAAATTACATATTAAATAAAGAAGTTTTAAATACAATTTTTTTTTTGGAGGAGGTTATTTAAAAAAAAACAACTTTGGTACTTGGTAAAATCAATTAAAAATAATATAAGGAAGTCTAAAAAAATTGTCATCAATCTCTACTTCTAGTAGTATCTCTACTATATGTTATTTCAAAATACTAATAATATGTTTGCATTTTATTTTTTATATGTAAATACTCATTTTTTACTAGCTAGTAATAATATCAAAAATTAGAAGTGATAGAAAAAGTCTAATTTTAGATTTAAAAACATGAAAATTTGAAAAGTTGATTTAAAATAGTATATTTTTGATTCTGATGAATGTTTCTTGTAGTCCAGTGTTTTTATTCATAAGTGACAAAAAATTCATTAATTTGTTAAAATTAAATATTATCTACAAATTTTTTTATATGCAAATACTATTTTTTAATAATATTAAAACTTAGAAGTGATAGAAAAAGTCTAATTGCACATTTGAAAACATTGCGAAAAGTTGATTTTGAATAGTATATTTTTGTTTCTGATGAAAGTTCCTTGTAGTCCAGTGTATAAAACTTATAACTTTGTTAACTGTTATAACTTTAACAAAAATGACCAAATCAGTATAATTTTTTT